TTATATGTTGCTTCGGTATGTGCGGATGAAAAAAAAAAAAAAAAAAAAAACTCTTGCATAACAGGCATTAGTATACCATTATTGGCATTCTGAGCTTGCTATGGAGTTCCGTCATATATAGGGATCAAGCTGTTAAGTGTGCAGTAAGTGATATTCTTACAAAAACAAAATTTCTATTGAAACTATTAAAATGAAAAATGCGAGTTGAAAATGAGCTCTGGTAAAGGCAATCCTTTGATACTATGGCGCTGCAAGAGGCCTAAAACTATTTTTCAGCAATCGAACTGCTAATGATACTTCGCCATTCATGCCACTAAATAACATGTTAATTTCTCATCATTGAATTCTGTGAATATATGCAAAGGGAATCGAATCAGGTTGAAAGGTACGGGCACCCCGATTTAACAAATGCCAGCCTGCTTTGTTTATTTCATTTTGTCGGGGGAGGGTGGAAACTCCTTGCAAAAGGTTGTTTTGATATGCTGAAAGAATTCATGCCGTTCAAATAGCATTACTGAAGAAATGTTGAATAAAGGTCTTGTTTAATAGAATATAAGACAAAAGAAAAACGTTTCATTGCGTCTTCAGTCCTCTCAAGGGAAATCATATCAACAGCGACGAGATAAATATAAACTGACTGACGGAGAGAAAAATCGAAAGTAGTGTGTTATTGCCTGAAAAAAAAATAGTAAGTTTAACTTCAGTTATATCAATAGGAAAAATCTCTATTTAGTCAAACTTTTCTAAAATGTTCACACTTTCAAAACCTCTTCTAAGTTCTCCAGGTCTGTAAGATAATCACAAAATCTTAAACTCTGTGAAAATGTCATATATTATTAGGCTTTGTTGGGCCGCATTACTAGCTATTTTGAGTTGGGTATGTCTACTGTAGCCTTCTGAACGACTCTAATCCGAATGAAATGAAATATTCTCTACTTTAAAAGTGTACATGAAGTTTCTGTTGTTCCTGTAGATCATTGTTGTACAAAAAATTAGGATTGCATAAACTGTAGATAGTTGAATAGTAAATACACAGAATTAGTGAACATAATAGTCAAAGTCTGATATTTATTTCTTCTTTTTATTCTTTAAATGGCTATAATATTATCAATATATCTTGACCAAACCTATCATTTGCAGCAAAACAGTAATATTTACGTGAAAGCAGAATACACTAGGGAACAAAACTACTAAGACCTGAAGCTTAACACTTTTATTCTTTTGCAAATGATATTATTTTCTGTCTGGATATTATTCTAGTTGCTTCAAAAAAAAAAAAAAACAGAGCAATTTTATTATCACTAGTTTAATTAAATTTTGTTATCATTGTTACAACTGTGAAGACGTTAACATTAAGATAAATTTTACTGAATGAAGATTTCCCGTTCTTTTTTTTTTTTTTTTTTTTTATTTCATTGTTTTAGGTACGAAAGTCATTTTTGCTGACTATTTCCACATGAACGCCATCAGAAATGTTTATTTATTTACTTACCTTTACTAAAATTTGTTAAGTTACGAAATACTGCTGTATGGAGACCTAAAATATTAAATTAATTCCGAAACACGAACTATGTGTCAGCGACTATTCTTTCATTAGATATTTAGTCATTAATTCTTTTAAAACACCCTGCGTGTATACGTACTTGATTAACGAGAGTTTTTATTTTGTTTGCGAACTTGGAATACGCAGAGTAAGTGTATCTCCAGAAGTGAATAGATAATCTGCATAAGATAAACGAGAAAAATGGAAAGGAAAAACGGATTTAAAGGAAAATGGGCTTTTCCCCCCTTTAAGTTAAAAAAAAAAAAAGAAAAGTATGGTTTCTTTCCGAATGTTTCTTTAAACTGCTGCAGTGTTATGAGATATACGGGGAATGGCATTTAGTATGTTTTAAAACTAACATTCTTCTAGTAGATAAATGTCTAAAATTATCTTAAGTTCTATATAACACCCCTTTAATTCAATGTATTTATCACAATGATCCTTTCAGCCTTGATACACTAAAAAAGTAACTTGCTGCCAGGTTGAATGCTGTTAAATGGGAAAAAGAAGCCAAACTTTAATTGTTGAATAGTATTGAAAACCTTGTAGGGTTTTCCTTATTTTGCATAACAAATTTATTTTAAGATTTTCGGTTCTAAATTTCTCAACTTCCCCTCATATTTTCTCGCCAGGATGTAAATTTAAAGTTAAGTGAAGTGCTATTTAAACGTGTGATTATCTCTGTTTATTTAGAGCGTATTTCTCTAGCAAAGCGCACGTTTCGTTGTTATTTCGTGGTCACGCTAGTAAGCTTCTTAGCCTTATCAGTTTAGTATCACACCGGTTAGATTTCTGTAAGTCACTTCTTAGGCGTAAATTCAAGTGCTTTCTTGCACTATTTATTTTCACGTTTGACTTGTATTATAGTCTACGTTTAATTACCACCGCAAGTGAACGGAACCGCATAAATATCAGTTTCTATCAAGGAAAAGTAGTTGACTGCATTAAACTAATATTTCTTGATTTCTAGCTCCAAAAGTCTGGCGCAGACTTTTAAAGTACCTACCATTTCATGCAGGATTATTTTCCCCTGATCTAATGCTGATACATATTTCCATTGTAATCATACTATTTTCCTCTACATATTTCTTAATTTATGGACATATTTCTTATGTGATCATATCCATACTGCGGCCTAGTCTGAAGTCATCTTCATATAACTCTCTTTTCTGTCTAAATAGAGCAACTTATATTTTGATGGTGGCGTAAGAAGTTAAGCTTGATCATCCAAAAAGTATTATATCAAATTTAGGTTTAGAACTTATTTAATGTTCCATGTATCTTGCCAGCTAGACATTATCTGCCTTTCTCAAAAACGCATCTCAGTCAGGGGAAATGATTTTACACCCATATTGTACCCATTAATAAATGGTGCAATTAAGTAATTTGAAACTAATGATTTCGATGTTTAGATTGGACGATAAAATATAATGTACGAGCAAGCATATTTTCAAACGCATAATTAGATAATTCGTAATCTCTCAGCTCTAAAACTGTGATTAAAAATTTTGATTAAGCGTGAAAATGTGTGGGTGTATTTTTTTAAAATTTATTTCAAAAAAAGTAAAAACAGGAAATTACACTCATGTCCGTAAATTAAGGATAAGGCAAAATCAGGCAAAGGAAGAGTTAGAAGCAAAACAAATTTGACTTATTTGTAAAGCTTATTTATTAAACAAAAGGTAAAGAGCAAAAAAAGATGCTACATGTTTAATATTGTTAAAAAATTAGCGATTTTTTCACCCTGGAGCAAATTACAAAAGAAACCTATTTACTAAAAACCAATATTACATGGTTGGTATGATTGTTAATACATTGTATGTCTCCCCGACGATGCAATACAGTCCGTACAACGCCTAGGCATGCTGAGTATCAAATTATCGATCTGATCTTGGGGGGATATTACACCACTCAAAAGGCAATGCTCTCCGAAGTTCCAGTAGACATGTAGGAGGAGGTTGACGGGCTGCAACTCGTCGGCCAAGCATGTCCCACACGTGCTCTACTGGATTCAAGTCCGGTGAGAATGCTTTCCAGTCCATACGGGTGATATCCTCCGATTGAAGGCATTCGCTTACGATGTTTGCACGAGAACAAGCGTTGTCATCCATAAACACAAAATGTGCGCCCATGACGCCCCGAAACAAATGTACATGTTGTTTCAGAATGACGTCCCGATATATTTGGCTTGTCATGGTTGCAATTTAAACATGCAGGTCAGTTCTGGAACCCAGAATAATTCCACTCCAAACGAGCACTCCTGCACCACCGTAACGGTGTCGTTCAATGATGTTTTCTTGGTAGTAACCGGTACCTGGAGCTCTCCATATGAAAGTCCGGCGAGAAACAGACTGCAAACTAAACCTGAACTCGTCGGAGAACATCACACAAGCCCACTGTTGCGGTGTCCACAAGGTATGCTCTCTACTCCAGGCTAACCGCAGGCTACAGTGAGTTGCAGTAAGTGGAACGCATCTGACAGGTCTACGAGCATATAGACCAATCTGCCGTAAGCGTATGTACACGGTCTGCCTTGAAATTGTCGTACCAGTGGCTCAAGAGAGCTGACGAGACAGGTCTGAGGCTGTGCTCCGCCTGTTTCTTTTGGCAGTAACTGCCAAATACCGGTCCTCATTCGGCGTTGTAACTCTGGGATGACCTGTGCTGTAACGTCTACTCACATTACCATCATTTTGGAATCGTTGCCAAAGCCTGGAGATGACATTCTGGCAAATTCCAAGTTCGTCTGAAATTTCCAGTTGGGTACGCTCAAATTCCAGACGGTCGATAATTCTAACACGTAAAAAATCATCCAAATGCGTCCTTTGTGTCATAACTATTCGGTTATTGCACTGAAATGCTTATAAAGCGCCTGCGAACAATTTTACTTCTCTGCTTGTATTCCTTATATATCACTCTCTTACACTCTCGTCATTGTGACGTACCATCAGTGTCATCTGGTTGCTTCCTGAAATTTGCATATGATTCTTGAAGATGTGTGAAGATGACTCCAAATTATCCTTAATTTATGGACATGAGTGTATTTCTACGAACATTTCACAGTAGAATTCCATCTCTTGTTATATTTTACTAAGATAATTCGTAGGATTTTGTATGAAGAATAATCTTGAGGTAATTAAAAATTTTATTTATATAATAATATTTTACTGTCTTAGAATTATTCTTTAAGATAATTTTATTGAAAGCATGCTTTGCAGTATATTTTAAAACATCTTTAGGAAATTATTAAATATTTATAAATATCTTTTGGTATCTTTTGGTAAAATGACTTGACAACACGATAAAATTTTAATAATGTCGAGATACATAATCTGTGAAACGTTTTAGAGCCATTGATGAAAAGCAGTGCTCAAATCATTCATGTGTTTAAATAAAACTTCAAGAGAAATACTTATGCTTTTTTGTTTAATATAAAACTTTTACGTTTTATTTATAGGTTGAAAGAAAACGGCACATCGGTAATGATATTGTGAATATCATTTTTCTAGAAGGTTCTCATACAGATCACGTAAATTTCAAGCCGACGATGATAAAATCACAATTTACACGTATCCTTTTACTATGTCATTTCTACAAGGTAAAAATCAGACATTTACTAACATGATATAATTTTAACTATTTTTCAGAGATCCTTTGTTTAGTTTTGTAGTTATGTCAAAATTTATTATTATTTAAATGTGTAGTTATTTCCTTAATTATTTATAGATATTTTTGCAGTTGTATCATATGAAAAGGAAGACGATTCTTACAGGTAGCCTTACATATTTACTCTGTTCATATAATATAATGTTCAATAATTTGGTGTTTTAAAAATATCGGAAATTTAACAGGATTATAATAGAGCAATAATTGATGAATATCTTTTAAATAACGTTAATGTCTATGGGACATCTATGAAATTTATGGGATTCTGTAGAAAATGGTAGCAGGAATTTCGTTGTGCAGTAGTATTTTTATATGACCGAATTTTTATAAGATCTCGATGATTGCAATACGCAGAGCGCACGCAATAAATATACTTCGTATAATAGACGCCATTGAGGTAAGGGCCATATTGTCAGTTGTATTACCGCATATGCAGCGGAGACGCAGCTATAGGATGGGGGCCGAGAGGCGGCTCGCCTCGGGCGGCCCGTATTTGTGGGCGGCATATTTCGCGTGAAACATTATTTTATAGAGATTAGTCATATAGAATGTGTTTCTAAGTATTCAAAGAAATCACAGAAGATTTTATGCTTACATATTCTTATTACAACTGTTTTTATTCCGTCGAAAATTTGAACAAAAATTGAGAATATCAAATAAATCGTGATATTTAACGACGGTAACACTGACATTGAAACATTACTCATTAAGAGCGTAGCACTGCATTTCGGAGTTTTCTTTCATTATTGGTAGGGAAAATGAAACAGGAACGTGGAAAGGTGGTTCTTTTAAACTTTCGCAGTTTATTCTAAAGTACAGTCTCCAGAAAAAAATTCTAATACGATAGAGAGCATCCCTTCCACAATTTCTGTAAGTGTTGCTAGCTGTGAAAAGAGTGTTCTAAATAAAAATCATGCTTGAATTATTTAAGACCTACACATGTTTATGTTACATTTAAAAATATTTCTATTCTGCCTGCATAACTGCAAATGGAGCAATCAAGCAGACCTCTATGATGCCACAGATGGTTTTGTGAATCCCCCCCAAAAGGATAATAATATAATTTTAAAATGTTGAAATTAAAAATTTTCTTCAATACCTATGTGTAATTTCGATATTTTTTTAGTTATATGAATACGGGAGTCTAATTCAGGGACAACCCCAAGCGGCAAAATCAGGAACCTTCCTGAGCGACAAAAGCTCTAACTACGCCACTGATTTGCAGTAACCGAGTATGCGGGAAAATGCACAATCAATGAAACGAACGGAAATGCAGGCGTTATGTTCTGCAATGAAGACTTTTTATTTCATGAAATTGTTAAATCTCTGTTCATCAATCTTTATGGGGGCTATAAATTTTAAGCCCAATTATTTCAGGTCTTGGATGTGATCAGGTCTCGGATAATGAAGCAAAGCAGAAATCTCCTTTATATGAACCCCTTATGTTCTAGAAAATGCACGCCTAAACCTTAGTTTTGCCAGCTGCGTATTGTTGTGATAATAGAAGCAGAATGTAAAAAGAATGTATTTAGTGAATGCATTATTAAAGGTATATAAGTTGTTGTTCTCCACACTCTTTAACTAATTTTATTGTCCAAAACTCGGGACAGAAAAATTGTGCGAGTAATTTTATTTACGAAAAACGCGATTACACTAAGAACACAACAAATAAGAAGCAGTCACGGATAAACTACTGGTAACTATCACAATATTATTTCTGTAAAAGAAACCTACATCAAAAAAGAAATGCATATTAATAGTAACATTACAGTATCTGACGGACACTGAGCTGGATAAGTATCTGAAGGATACATCGCGCCTAACGAGGGGAGTCTGGCTCAGTTACCTTGTAAATCCTCAAGGGCATTTTTAATACTTTTAAAATTTCCACTACCTAGCATTAAAAAGCTAAGGGAAAACTGCGTTAGGAAATAACAATATTCACTTAATTTATTTATTGTCTGTTAAAAACTATAGCCAACTCGATATATGTCTTCCTACAAATGCTTTCACCTTCTTTCCGTTGGAGCTTCAATCACTTTATAAATGCACGGTCTTCTGGCATCGTTTAAAGGCTTCTACAATTTCATATTTGTTTGTTTTTCATTTTGAGACCAACAATTTTAAAAATTTACCCATTTTTTTTATCTTAAATAATATTCAGATGATGATCTGATACCATATTTTCACGTAATGTCTTTATGTTACTTTATCCATTTTTACAGGAAAAGTTTATGACTTACTCCTGGAGAGATAGTAGTTATTGTTCAGGGCAATAACTGATAATAATATGATATATGCTGTGAATTTTCACTGATTTGCTTTCTCCTGCTACAATTAATAAACATAGTGTGTCCTTCCATGAGTGAATACGAAGAACTGCAAGATAAAAGGTTAATGCTTGTATCTCTAAAACCCGTCACATATTAGTGATCATAATACGTCACATTCACTTAAACATATTTTATAATAATCGCCTCTTCATTAAATGTATGTGCGTAAATGGATGTTTCTAATATTATTGATACTATTTCTATTACTGAGGAAAAAAAACGATACAAATAATCGGAATATAATTTATACTGTATTTGTTCAATACAGTATAATTTATACTGTATTTGTTCAATACAGTATAAAATATGACTAAAAACTGTATCAGTGGCCTATGATAGTTTATCACCTTTATTAAAGATTGATTATAAACTCAAAAAGCAAAATTTTAAATACTTTTGAAAGGCTGTTTTTGTAAAGTACTTAACGTGGAAATACAATCATGCTGCTTCAAAGAAAAAAGAATTTCTGTAAAATCAATACAGTTGCTGAAAAGGGAGGATAAAATGTTGGTAAAAAATGAGGAAGCGAAAAAGAAACATAAATTTCAAAATAAAATAAAAAAACATGTTTAAACATCATATTTTTTCGTAGATAATTTAATCAAAAAAATGTGATGAATAATCTGATTATTTTTTCGTTGTCTTTATTTTACGAAACTTTTAAGAGAATGGAAATGAAGTCAAGTATCGGCAAAGTTATTATTCAGAAACCGAAAACTCAAGACAAAAAATATATTTAAAAAAGCAAAATCGCATGGGTTTCATAGAAAAGGTTCAATGAGATTAGGCCAGTAGTGAAGAAAAGGATCAATAAAAGATCAAAAGAACGAAGATTTCAAAATAACAAAGCCGACAGAAGTGGCGGCAAAAGCCGTAAAATGAAGACAAGCGAAAAAAGTTTGTACATGGAGCTCAAAAAAAAGGCGCAAATAAAAGAAAGTACATCATCGAGGCCTTTCTACAGTTGGTTTACTTTAGCTGCATTAGCATTTATGTCTGCTTATAATAAATCAGTTCTTAATACGTTTTCAAAGAAGTGCACAGTATGGCATAATTTTTAATGATTAGCCACGAATTTTGAAGGATTTTGGAAATTTGTAATTTTGAAGTAAATGCATCTTTATATATTTGCGAAACGTTAATCGATAAAAGAAAAGAAAAATGCATGGGCTATTAGCAGCGATAAAAGGTGATGTATTTGGAAGCTGTTTTTATCCGGATAACGTAATTTAGTTATACCTAATCCGGAACACATTTGATGTCTAAATCTAAGACTACAAACACAAAACATGAGAATATCTAAAAACATAATTAGTTTATTGTTCTGAAATTTTCTACCCTATACATACATAACCTAATTCTATGAAACAAGTTAATAGTAAATTAATAAAATAAATAAGCTGTAAATGCTTAACTTTGTACAAATGAAATCTATAGCGACCAAAATATGATACTATATTTTAAAATGGTATGGCTGCTAAGGACAGTGGCCTCGTCACAGAGATTTGCGTGTCTTATAACGGGCTATTGTACTATAAGTGAGTTTTTGTTCAGGAGAACATGCGCGAAAACGTGCAAAATACAAACACTCCTAAGTCCAAGCATTTTCTAAAAAGCCGCTGAATTGAGACTTTAGGTTTAGTTTCATTATTTAATGAAATTCCTTAAAGAATCACGGAGTTGCAGTCAACAAAATTAAAAAAATCATCCAATGCAGACAATAAAAAATGTTGACTGAATTGGATGCCATATGCGGTGTAGCAAAAGCTTGATCGAAATTAAAATGAATAACACTGGTTCGATCACGGAGAAAGATTCTTCCTAATACAAAAATCGGAGACTTATATCTAATTAGGAAGAAGTTGAGTCCGAAACTGAAGTCGTATGTCAGAAAATTAAAATACGAAATTCGTCTAAAATTTCGATCGGGAAAACATCGAGGAATGGTTTGATGGCGATTCAACTGAGCCAGGCTTTCCACGCTTGTGAGATTAGGATATCATTTCAAATATCATTTCAAATTCAATAATAGGAGAGACAGGGGATGATACTGGAAATACAAGCGAAGAAGATACTGATAATTACATTAGTCTCGGGATAGCAATGATTTCTACTGAAATTCTGTTGGACTTCGTCGGTCAAAGGGGATTCTATTATACATTGATAAAATAGCATTTCGAAAAATACACAGTCAAATTCGGCAAATAATTAAACGTTCTCAAAAACAAAGTAAAACTTCTGATGTTTGAAAAAAAAGAAACCTTTGCGATATACATGAAAACTGGTAGTTTTATCCGTGTTTCCATAATCCATGATGTGCTTTTCCAGCATTAGTCCGAATGAGCGAGAATACATTGTAATTACTTTGGGATACTCGTGAAGACTAAATTTAGTCTTGCAGACTTCAAAAAGAATTCATTTAAAACTTTCCTTTAAGAAATAAATATTATTTATCTCTCTGAGAGGAGGGATTCCTCGAATGCTGTGATTATTAATGCTGGCTGCAATGTCGCTGGGCTTCGATTCAAACTCCAGAGAAGGCATGGACATTTTTAAGTGTATATGTCTCTTGTGATATAAATATCCCAAATATTTGAAGATAAATAAATGCTCCATAAAGATACTGATGAATCGATAAGAAGAAAATAACCTACTCATCTTTCTTGTGGGGCTGAAGAAAATATGTGGGGTGCTTAATTTTAAGTGCTATGTCGTTTTTGTAGTTGGTTCGGAAAAGGCTGCGGTAGATTGCGATGAACCAATTATGTTCAAG